GGGGGGGGGGGATCACACTAGATTCTTACTGAAGTTTGGAGACCTGGCGGGTTGTTTTACTGTTACAAAATTTTATTTCTTGACAAAGGTGGGAAAGGGGGCTGGTGGAAATAAGACATCTAGGCTACGCAGTACAGTACAGTGGCCTCCACATCGTACCCAATTAAAGCTTTATGCAAACGACAAAGCCTGATTTGACTCAGGCCATATTCGTGAGTTTGCTGCGATTTAAACAACAAATTTGGGCGTTATTCACCTATAAAGGTATCGTAGACACTTCTTGACAAGATACACACATTCGCCGTGACCAAGGACTTTGTTGGCAAGACTCGAAGCTTAATGATTCGATCTAAAATTTTCGGATTATCATAATTTTTAACATTATATTGATATGTTAGTTAAATAACTTTTCACTAGATATTTATATCTTAGCTATCACTTGCATTTTGTTTAATAGTGGCTGCAACATAATTTTTATAATTAATTCATTTTGATCTTAATTTTATATTCAAATTACTCGTAAAATATTTGTAAACTCGCCTCATGAATAAGCATATTTTCACGTTAAATAAAGCTATGCTGTTTGTTCTATTTATCATATGAACTACGGTGTTATACAAGGATTTCCAGCCCTGAGAAAAGCTGTAACAACACATGTGAAAGAATACGATATTTTTCACGTGTGTTGGATATCGCCAATCAGCTGCTGACACGTCACTCGCCTTTCGCACCACTCCTTTAGGTTGATGAATGAACGGCGAAGTCTTCACCATTCTCAATCCAAGATCGTTTGTCGGATTTTTTTCGGGTTATGGCAGCTAAAGCACTGAAAAATCCGTATCGCTTATAGACAGTGACGTTCAAACTTTCCTAGAAGAGGAAGAAAACCAAAATACGGAAAGAAAAACCAAAGGTTATGTATTGAGTGGCTTTGGTAATAACATTTCTCGCGGCTGAGAACAAATATCGACCACTGGAACATTTTTCACAGGCTAATTTTGGCCATGAACCCGAGAGATTTCTTCTTTCGGTAAGGACCAAGTAAGTAACTAAGAATTTTGTACATTGAAAATTACGCCCGTTGTTTGTTTTTGTAGTACAGTATTACAACGCATCAAGATTTTTCATCTTGAGCCAGCTTATCTTCAACGCACTGTGCAATTTTTATTCGAAGATTGTCGATCCTTTTACTTTCGGTCATTAGTTAAGTCGACTTTTCTTTCCAATAAAGGGCTGTTCTGTTTATATGATAAACAAAGTAATACATGGTTGTTTGTAGATATGAAATTTCTCTTCTCGTGTTCAACTCGACATCTCACTCGTTTGCAGCGCTCATTGGTTAGAAATCGAGGATCTATAGGAAGGTAAACGCAAACAGGAAATTTGCCTTAAGGCTATTTTTCTTACTTAATCGTTTAAATCAAAGCAGAGTCGCTGCACCAACACATTTTTTGTCAGATCCATGCCCCAAATTGAAATAGTTTTATGGTTCATTTTCTAAGCTGCAAAAACGTTTTGCTCTCTCTTTTGACTTATACAAACAATTCAACAAAAGACCGTAGTGCAATTGATAGCTCAAATATGTTGTAGGCAACCTACCCCCCTTATGAGATGATGGCACAACTGCACTCGTGGTCAAACTCTTTCAGGCTGCAGCGCCTAGAGTGGTTGAACAAGGCGATTCTCGAGCCACAAGCTCTATTGCAGGTGCTGCTGGTAAATACATTGTTTTTGACGCTGTTTAGCAGCGGCACTGAAGTAGCCTCTCTAGAGTGCAAGCCTGGGCGAAGTTCATGGTAATCCTGGGCTGCCCAAGACGTCAGGATCCCCTCTCGGCTTTACTGATGTGGTCCAAAGGAAAGGAGAGAAGTACGTGTGGCACCAGCTTGGCTGCAGGAGTTTGCCAGGTAGTTAACGAAAAGAAGAACTAACCGCCTCAAAGGGGCTCTGCTCCTTGATTTTATGTCAGGGTTTATTCCCTCAGGTGGTTTGTCGACCAAGACTAACGAGGTCCGCCTCCCCGTAGTGGATCTGATATTATATATTTCACCTATAATTGGAACCCTTAGCAGGTACTCGTGCTCCGGGTAAGAGCACTCCTGGGAGCAATAATGGCTAAGCGGTGTCTGGAGAAGGCTCTAATTGAGTACTGATGTCTAGAGACCCTCAAAACGGCTCGCGCACAAGATTAAGAACTTCGTGGAGCTGTCTGCACTGAAATAAAAACCTGGCTTAGTTTCCAGTCCCTGTTGGCTCAGTAATTCTTGGCCCCCTTTATATGACGTCGTCAAGAGGCTACGCTTCAACCCCTTTCTAGAACTTACGCAAAAACAACGGAACAAGAGAGTGGCTATGGACTAGGCTGGAAAAAACCTAACAACTACTCTTGTGCACCGGAAATTGAAAGTTGGCCAATTGAAGTTGGCCATTTCCAGCTTAGTCGCGTCCTCTCTGAACATACAAACATTACTTCCGGGATAGGGCAAAAGAAGAACTGCAGCATAGTTTTGCTACAGGGTAACACACCAAACAAGGCAAAAACGTTGAAAATATTCCCAGAAAGCTCCATCGGACCGCACAATCTGTCCAAGGCATCTCGCATGCGCAGGGCTCGTCGGCCCAGTTTCTCTCGAGATCTCCGTCCTCTGTGCAATGGTAAAAGACAGCTTTCACACAGCACATACAAGTAAAACACTCTACAAGCTGTGTCCTGTCAGTTTTTGACGACTTGTTAAGGACGATATTTTTGCTTTCGAGTTCATCTATAGTTTGAGCAGTGCTTGGCGCCTTCTCTACAACAAAAATGGCGTTTGTCATATTAATTATCACTTCTGCATCGCTTGACACCGCTTGGTAACGCCCCTTACTTGAAAAAGAGCTGCCAAGATAGGAAAAGTAAGAGAGCTGCGGTTGCCTTGTGACGGGTTGTCCATCTGCTATTAGGTCTGTAATGTAACCTCTTTCCTTGTCCCAAACACTCCTCCATTCCTCGGGGTTGATTTTTTGGCTCTGCCTTGCCATTCTTTTCTCTGGTGAAGACATACTTCTTCGTAGAGACCTTTTCTTAACTTTTTCTTGAAGTTCTTGGTAAATGAAAGGCTTCGATGAGTCTCTCGGCGATCCAACAAGATCGGTCAGTGAGGAGGACCTCCGTGATGTCATTCTATTTGAAGGTGATTGCCTAGATTACAGAAAGAACCACTCCATGTTTCAAGATACAGACGCTCTTTATTTCAAAGATATTGAATTATAGATCAGTGTCAAGACTCCTGAAATGCCCAGTTT